TGAATATGGTGTAAAGACGTAGCAATGAATCACGTGCCAATTACTTATAGGCGACAGACTCCAATTATTATTAGAGATGCTACTTAATTTAGAGTAACAATATTACTGTACACTTTTATATTTTAGCTTAAAAACAGCACACACAGATCATTTTAAACATTACACTACTCAAAGTGTCTGAATACTTCCCCTCCAGAGTTTGGCTGTTTTTAATTAATGATGCACCACTCCCAGAGGGCATTGCTTCTTGTCCTCTTGCTTCATAAGTGGGGTAGCTATACTCTTAGGTTTTTGTCGGTAAAGTCACGTAGGTAAAAAGTTAAAATAATAATAGAAATAAAATAATAATAAATCAATTAAATCACGACGTTTCGGAGGCCAACACAAGTCTCCGTCTTCAGGTGGGACCGTCACAGCTAAATTTACTGTATCGAGTGAGGAGAAATCCAAGAGACAAGCTAGGACACAGCAGCAGAAGTGAGTGTGAAAGCGATGGGTATTACCTTGTTATCGCGGCATCTCTTGAGGAAGGCCAGCGTCTCGAGAAGCTGTGACTTCTTGTTTCGTTGTCTGTTAAAAACTCTAACAGATAGGTGAAATTCCTCCCCGTAGAGGGTATTAATTCTAGATTTGAAGCTTTCGTGACTGCAAGAATTTATACTCTCAGGTTTTTTCGGGGTAGCTGTTGTGCTCATCTTTAAATATGTAAATATAAAACATCTGAGGCTAGGATCACACAGGGTGGCTTATTCATTACTGTTGTCGAATAACAACTAAGGGGGAAATAAACTAAATGCACACAATTTATTCCATCACCTATTTTGTTTAAGTCAGAATTTGTTTGTAATCTGCTCTATACCTGATGTGTTTGTGTACAAGTAGCTCTGCATGTGATGCGGCTCTCGAAATATTTTGGTCAGAGAGGGAAAAAAATGGCCCTTGTGATATGAAAGGTTGCGACCCCTGGCCATATTCGCGACAGCCCCAATGAATGTGAACTCACGCACGAGCTCAAGGCCGCCGCCTGCAGGAATAACAAGCGCAGTCACACCACTTCCAGAATGCACCGCGTGTAAATCGCTATTCACATTTTGATTAAAGCAAGCAGGTAATGAATGTGGATTTGTTTAGTAAACAATATTAATATTTAGTTTGTTATGTTTTGAGACGATATTAAGCATGGAATTGCTATAATAACATTGTGCGATGTTACGGATGTGACACATCTTTGTGAACCCATGGTGCAGAGAGAAATTCTCGGCGTATGTGAGCTCTGCCACGAATCGTTGCAAAGTGTCGCTTCTCGGCCTTTTGGCCAAGAATAAGTGTAGTATCTGTGGGGTTTTTTTTTTTACCAGTTTAATATCTGACACGTATTACATAGTGGTAGCTTATATTAAATTGATCAGCGTTAGTACCCGGCGAAAAAGGCAGATAATTCCTTCAGTCACGAAAGGTTTAAATACAATTTTAAGGCAGACACACATTGATTTACGCACAAACATTGGCCCACACACATGAACTTACACGCGCACAGACAACAACAACCGCCATTTGCCACGAAGTGGTGCTGACGTCACCACGACGCTTGTGCCAGGCCATGTGCACCTTGTGGCCACGTCAAGTGTCAAATGCCTGCTGGCAGGAGGTCACGGGGCAGACCCAGGTTCCACAGGTCGAATGACTGAGATGACTGGCTGATGCACCATCTGTGCCCCCTACTGTGCCAACTTGCTGTGCTTTAGCCACCCGGCGCTCCGCTCGTTATTGTGAGCGTCGCTCCTCTGCCTTCCGTTGTTGTTGGAGGGCGACTGCCTCCAACTGCCCAGTTGCGTCCTTCACGAGCCTCCTCCACAGAGGCCGATCTTGACACTGCTGGTACCAGTCATTGGCAAGTCAACTCAGCTCCACATCCACCTGTACCACATCACTCCATCTCTTCTCTAACCCGTGCCGCGCCCATTTAGCCCTCTATATCCAGCCGAATAAAAACTGTTTAGGCATGCGGTGGCTGGGCATGCGGGCGACATGACTCGGCCAACGCAGCCTTGGCTGCCGGAGGAGTTCACCGATGGGACTTTGTCCACATTTTTCAAGGATTTGTGAGCTTACACAATCCAGCCTGGTTAAACTCAGGATGGATCATAGGCAGGCCATCCTAAATGTTTCTAACCGGCGAAGATGCTCCATTAGGGGGGTCCACGTTTCGCAAGCGTAGAGAAGGGAGGGAATGACCATGGCCGAGAAGACCCTGAAGCTTCGTGCGGAGTGATAGACCAGGTAGCTTCCACATAGCGTTACGCAACCGATGAAAATATAATGCTGCTTGACTGATTCGGCGTGAGACCTCTGCTGTTAAACCGGAGCCGGTCATGAACACACTGCCCAGGCATGGGAAGCTCTCCACTCGCTCCACAACTGCCCTTTCACCAATTGGGAGTTGTGGGGGTGGAGTGTGCGATGGGACAAAAATACCCAGACAAGTGCTTAGTATTGGTGGGGCTGATAGTAAGTCCCCACCTCTTAGTGGCAAGCTCCAGGTTCAGCAGCAGCACCTCCAACTCCTCCTCTGAGTGAGCAGCAAGTACCAGATCATCGGCATACATAACTAACATGATTGAGCAATAGGGAGCCATCTCTTGACTGCACCCGGACATTGATCAGCCTCCCATTGTATCTGTACCAGATGTGGAGGTGGAGTGTCCGATGGTACATAGACTCACACACACATTGACCTACACAAACACATATATGGACTTACAAAGACACACATATCGACTAAGACACACACACAAGGACTTACACACACAAATGGACCCACGCACACACATCGACTTACAGACACACATCGACTCACACACACACATATGAACTTACAAACACATATCGACGCACACACACACATGGACTCTCACACACAAACACACATTGTGTACACACATCGACTGACACACATAGACTCCCACACAAACATACATGGACTCACGCACATAGGGCCACACACACATGGACTGACACACATATGGACTTACGCACACTAACACACATGTACGTACAGACACACACACATGGACTCACACGCACACATGGACCAAACACACACACAAAGAAATGGACTTACACTGACTCACATGGAGCCACGCACACACAGCAACTAACACACACGCACACCGACTGACACAAACACAGACATGTTGACTCTGACACACAGACACATGGACTCACACACACACACATTTACTCACACACAGACACATTGACTTACACACACACATCGCCGCAGACACGCACATCGACCCACACGCACACATGGACTTAGACGCAGGCATGATAATTGTGAAAATAAGTAACTTAATTTAAAAATAGTAGTTGTCTACACATGCACACGACGCAAACACATTGACTAACACACACACATCGACTTACGCACACAGACATCGACGGTATGCACTATGACTACAGTAGTGCATACCGACTGTAGTGGTACCTGCTTTGACTACAGCAGTGCAAACCGACTGTGGTGGTTCCTGGTATCACTACTGCAGTGCCCAGTGACTGTGGTGTAACCTGCTATCACAAAGGCAGTGCATACTGACTATGGTGGTACCTGCTTTCACTATAGCAGTGCATGCCGACTATGGTGGTACCTGCTATGACTACAGTTGTGCATACCAACTTTGGTGGTACCTGGTATCACCAGAGCAGTGCATACTGACTGTGGTGGTATGTGATTTGACTACAGCAGTGCATACTGTGGTGGTACCTGTTATCAGTACAGCAGTGCATACCGACTGTGGTGGTACGTGATTTGACTACAGCAGTGCATACTGTGGTGGTACCTGGTATGATGACAGCAGTGCATATTTACTGTGGTGGTAGCTGGTATGATTATGGAAGTGCATACAGTGGTGGTACCTGCTTTTACTACTGCAGTGCATACGGACTTTGGTACCTGCTTTCACTACAGCGGTGCATAGTGACTGTGGTGGTCCCTGCTATGATTACAGCAGCGCATACTGTGGTGGTAACCTGCTTTCACTATAGCAGTGCATACCGACTGTGGGGGTGCCTTCTATCACTGCAGCAGTGCATACCGACGTTGGTGGTACCTGCTATGATTACAGCAGCGCATACTGTGGTGGTAGCTGCTTTCCCTACAGCAGTGCATACTGACTGTGGTGGTACCTGCGATGAGAACAGCAGGGCATACTGACTGTGGTGTAACCTGCTATGATTACATCAGTGCATAGTGACCGTAATGGTACCTGCTAGCACTACAGTAGTACATGCTGACTTTATAGCAGTATATATGGAATCTAAAGCACAAAGTAGTAAGCAGACAGAGTGCCGTGGTGAGGCCTAGTCCCGTGCAGAGCCCCTGGCCTCGCCTAGATTTCCCAGCCCGCCGAGGTGTGACCTCGGCTGGCTGGGGGTGAGGCCGCTCCCCCCGGTCACACTACTAAGAACTTCCTCGTTTGTTGGCAGAAACAAACTCGGTTTAATTATTTCTGGGTGTGCCAAAGCCTTTTGCAGAAATTGAGATTTTGTCCCGGTTTCAAATATGAATGGCAGTGTGCGTGACTGATGCTTGTTTAATATTCCGTATCTCTTAACACGATGGCACATGCGGAATGGTCGTGATAACTTGTGCGCATATTCTTTGGTAAAGTCACGTAAAGTATTTTTTTGTAATTTTAGTTATTTTCTTTGAACCTATCTATGTGACTTTACCGAAAGACCCAAATAATATTCGCACAATAAGTTACCACGACCATTCCGCATGTGCCATGGTGTTAAAAATAACAAAGGAGTTTTTTGTTATTTTTTGTTATTTTATTTGAACCTATCTACATGACTTTACCGAAAGGCCCAAAGAATATGAATTCCTGCAGTCACGAAAGCTTTCAGTCGGTATTTATTGTGCGAAGTAACGGGTGGAGGCCCCATGGTGTAGAGAGAGTCTTGGCGTATGTAATCTCCACCACTGGCAAGTGTGTGTTATCGCTTCTCGGCCTTTTGGCTAAGATCAAGTGTAGTATCTGTTCTTATCAGTTTAATATCTGATACGTACCACATTGTGGTACCTTATATTAAATAGATTTTTGGGACAGGGAGATGGAATAGGGGCTTGCTCCGTCCACTCCGCGCATCAACCCGGTATTGCAGTTTCTCCGGGAATGGTGCACCTCCCTGCTGGGGGAGGGATATCATCAAACAAAAGTAGACTATGTTGGGTTTGCAAACCCCATTTCCGCTGTTTGTCCGTAATTGGGTGCGTTCTCTCCTGTTTTGTTAACAGTCCCCTCCATCTTCTCATTTGTGCCCTGGATAGCTGTCAAATTTCAAAAATCTATCAAACTCTTTTCACAGGTATCCAGTCGGTGTGGGTCAAGAAGTAATATGTCATATGCACATGCACTTATATACAAACAGTTTGTTTTATCCTGTACTGCTCTGTTTGTTACGTCTTCATAACGCAGTATTGCCCATAATGCCGTAATTTACCTATCTTAGTCTATCTTGCTTCATGTGCTATGTAGAAAGGCCTTAGGCTGAAATTTTACTATACCTTCCTTTAGGGACAGTGTTTATTAACGAACGATATTTTTTCGCTTGTTTTTTTTCATTCATATGTATTGGTCGTACAATTTGTATTATTATATTAGCATTTTCAGATTCTTATTCTCTGAATCAATAACACTTGCACCTAAGAACTTGCTCGTTTGTTGGCAGAAACAAACTCTGTTTAATTATTTCTGGGTGTGCCAAAGCCTTTTGCAGAAATTGAGATTTTGTCCCGGTTTCAAATATGAATGGCCGTGTGCGTGACTGATGCTTGTGTAATAATCCTCCAGGAAACGGCTTCGGAATCAGTCCTTTTATTTCCACTCCACAATACACTTTGCTCACTCACTCTCCGTTGCTGGCAGACAACGGAGAGAGGACAGACTACGCACTAAGTCCCCACCGCGCTCGTGGCAACCCGAGGCCCCGTCCGCGCATGACCCTGCTCTTGCCAGTTTCAGTCTGCTCTCGATCGTTCTCTCTCACTCGTTCTTAATACCTTCGTCACGTGGTTCCCCCAGCCAATCGTTCATGGACAGCTTCGACCATTCTCGATGGTTCCCTGTCAATCCCGGGACCACGCCCCTCATCCGGCTCCCCATTAGCTGGGGCCCCGAATGGCTAGGCCAATCACTCCTGATGACCTGTCGTGATGACGCATGGGCCATGGTCCCTATCTCAACCCTTATTGGCTACGAGCAGGACCGGCAAGCCAATCCCCACGTGAACCCTCTATGGCTGTTATTACATCACCTCCCCCCCCCCCGGTGAAAAAAATTTAGCCGTCTCGGCTGGGAAAAGGGTGAAGAACCAATTCCGCAACATCTTATTAGGGCACCAAGGTGCGTTTAACAATTTGAGGGTGAACAGGCGTTCCCGCGCCTAACAACATGTAAAACAGTCACCCATAATAATTATAAGAAAATCACAACATACATTAGGGCGCCCCTGCAGCGCGGTAACGACAGGGAATCAGCGAACGATCAAACGTTAACGAAACGGAAGAGATTTCGACCGCGTACGCGACGCGGGACCCTCTCCGCTCCCAGCGCAAGGTCGCTTCGCTTCCGGATGAACAGGAGGTGGCAGGCTCGAAGAAGAAGCCGGTTGTTGGTGCTTGGTCACGTCCAGGGCGGGCCCCGTTGGAGGGGGGGCAGCGGGGGCTTCCTCAGCCCTCAGAACCTGTTCATCTGCAGGAGGCACAACACAGTCCCCCCTGGGATCAACGGGCGTGTCAAGCGGCGCAGTCGGCCCAGCAGAACCCGGCAGGTCAGCTATTGGGGATGAAGGACCGACACACGCGTCAACATAGGGTTTAAGTCGCGAGGAATGAACATACCACCGACGTTTGCCGTATTGAACGCGGATACTTTGCGAGTTCCGAACATCTACGAGCGTCACAGGCCCCCGCCATGGCCTGTGCAGTTTAGGGGATGTGCCTGCCGGTACCTGGGGGCAGTGGAGCCACGCCAGGTCTCCCACTGACCAAGGCATGCGAGTATGCGATCGACGCGCGTACCGTTCGTTCCTTGCCTAGATATATGAGGCACGTTTCCCACTGCAGTCCCGCCAACACCAATTCCATGAGCCGCTGAAACGTGGCCGGAGCCGCGTTCAGGCCCATCGGCAACCGATTAAATTCAAAGAGGCCTTGCGGCGTGCGGAATGCCGTTTTGGGTTTTGACTCGTCATCGAGGGGAAGCTGCCAGAAGCCCGAGGACAGGTCGAGGGTGGAAAAGAATTTAGCACCCGATAAAGCATCCAATGAGTCATCCATCCTCGGTAAGGGGTACGCGTCCGCTACCGAGATTTTGTTCAGCCGGCGGAAATCAACGCAAAACCTCGTACCACCATCTTTTTTCTTAACCAAAATGACGGGCGCGCCCCAAGGACTATTGAATGGCGAGATAATATCCGCCGCCAGCAATTCATCTACCGCCCCACGCATGTGTTCCCTTTCCGCCGGGCTCATGCGGTGAGGGTGCATACAGACAGGCGGCGACGCACCGGTTTCAATATGGTGCGACAAAAGCGATGTGCGTCCGAGGTCTAAATCATTTCTGCTGAACACATCAGCGTACTGCAGCAACAGCGAACGCAAGGCGTTCCTATGTTCATTTGACAAGGAAGAATTCTCTCCGCATAAATCCGCGATCCAGCGTTCTTGTGAACGATCATGCGGAGGCCCATCCGCGGGCATCCGAGCACGCGGCGGTTTTTCACACGAGGCGAAATCGGTAGTGGCGTGAGCCAGCACCGATCCCTCCGGAACAACAACGCGATCAGGTCCCCCATTCAAGACCTGTATGAAAGGTGCCTGACCTGGGCGCACGATCGTTTGTGCCGCCGCCAAAGAAAAAGATTTCGATACGGAATTCGATGGGGATAATAGCACGCCTTTCGCACCCTTTCCCATTTGAAGTGGTTTTCGGTAACGTAGCGGAATAAGCATTTGCGCTCCCGATGGAACCTCCACCGTAGCCGCAACGACAGCAGTAACCGCGTTACCTGTAGGCGCCTTGGCCAGCAGGGAAGGCAGGAACGCCATCCTACGACCCCTTGGCATTTCCAAACAGTCCTGGTCGACCCGTATTCGCAACGGCATCCGGCGCAGGAAATCCGTACCCAACAAGCATGGAACAGCTAGCGAGCGAGAAATTAACACAGGTCCTGCGGCGGTAATATTTCCGATAGCGATGCTCACATCCACCTGTCCGCAGATACCCATGCTCCCCCCATTGGCGGCAACACACGCATCATTAACCTTGCGTATTCTCGACGCAGGAATGGACAACAAATGAAAAATTACATCCGACATGATGGTAGCCGATGCGCCAGTGTCCACCAAGATACGGACGTCAACGCCGTCGATGGTACCGCGTACCGTCGACGAGCCCGACGCCGCAGCCACAATCCTGCGAGCCAATTTCTTCCACTGTGTAGCAGAGCGTGTCAATGGAGCAGGAGAAGTAACATTACCCTGAGGAGTGTAAGAATGAGTGCGAGTGGATGAGTGATGTGACACGACCTGCCGGGTGTCCGATTTGTGCCGACTCGCCCGAGGTTGTTGCAGCTCCGCGGCAGGTAGAGGAGATAGAAGTCCCCTTGGCGGAGGAGGCGACAGCAGAGGTCGGCAGCGGCAGTCACGGGCGAAGTGGCCCCGTCTGCCGCACTTAAAACACGCAGCCGACGTCGGCCGGTGGTCGGACGACCCGGCCCTCGCACGCGGTCGGCCCGTGTAGTCGCCCCGCTGGTCGCGCAGCCGCCGGCCCAGAATCCTATGCGGGACAGCAGCAGCCAGCATGTCGTCGTCCGAGTCGTCGGAGCAGTGGACAACCAGTCGCGGAGACCACCCCAGAGGCGGCCCGTCGATCTCGGGTTTCCCCGTCCACGCCGCCATCTGGTCCCACCGCTTGATATTAAACTTAGCGTCCAGGCAGCGCCCCACCCACCGCGATAAAAGCGGTTCGTGGCCGCACACTGGTAGAGAGATGTTGAGCTCCTGAGACAACTCCAGCATGCGGGAAAGGATGAGAGGATCCAAATGCTCGGCCGTTGCGTCGGGGTAGGCGGCCATGGCCATCGCCATCAACGCCCCCCGATAGGCCAACGGCGATTCCTCCGGTGCCCGGCGACGCGACATAAATTTTCTGGTGGCCGATGTCGGCGGGTCGTAAAATTCCGCCATCTCTGTGAACGCATCCCGCAGTGTCTTCTTCTTGGACGCCGGGATGGAGCGGAAGACTCCCAGAGACACATCATCGAGCAGCGTAGGTAGCGCTCCCAGCGCTTCTTCCTCCGTCCAGTTGACAGATCTAAAAGCTGACTCGAAGCGCCACGTAAAAGCACTCCAATCGCCCCCGGCGATAAATTCTTTTATTTGTGGAAGGCGATGTCCTCGGTGGCAGGCGCGTGCCGCGGGCGTCTCCGGCCGCCGTTCCCGCTCTCCGCTCGGTGCAGACGAAATGGCGTCCGGCGGCCGCGTGCTGGTAGGCGCGCCCAAAATGGCGGCCGACGACTCCGGTGCAGCCGTCCCACCCAAGACGACGGCGTCCTCCCGCGTGGCAGGAGCAATGGCGGGTCCCGCTTCCATAGCAGGACCCCTTCCCGCGGCGTCCAGCTGATCGGCGATCTGGCGACCCACGGCTGGTGAGGACGCCACCGCGGTCACCAGGCTTAGCAGAATTGCGCGCAACGACTCAATCTGCTCCGCCATCAGCCGCCATTCGTCTCTCGGTCTTGCGGTGGTCGCATCCTCCCCCGGTCGACGCTGAGAGGCGTTGAGGCGAGCGTCGTCAGCCGGCGGCACCAGGGCTGTAGCTCCCAACAGCTCATCTTCATCCGTCTCGACCTCTTCCTCTGACAGAGGCATGGGCAGGTTCTTTTTTCTGAGGTGCTTAGACATCTTGACGATCGTCCAAACAGTCGCAGAATTACTTCTGACACCAGTGTAATAATCCTCCAGGAGACGGCTTCGGAATCAGTCCTTTTTATTTCCACTCCACAATACACTTTGCTCACTCACTCTCCGTTGCTGGCAGACAACGGAGAGAGGACAGACTATGCACTAAGTCCCCACCGCGCACGTGGCAACCCGAGGCTCCGTCCGCACGTGACCCTGCTCTT